AATAAGGTCAAAGTTGTCCACCTACAGAAACACCAAAACGTCGGATGATTCCTCAGACTTTCTTACCTGTGACATTTTAAAGACTCAATAAAAATTGTGTATTGGTTTGGAACTTTTTTCTTAAATTGATTAACCTTTCCAGCTATTTGGTAAGTAAACAGTTAAGTAAATTCTAGTGTGCAAAGAACAATAACAGAGGGAACAGAACAGGATTTTATTCTAGTAAGACTTCATGGGAGGAGAATTGAATCTGGTTTTTGAAGGAATACTGGGTATTTTAGGTAAGAATATGGTACCAGTGACAGGCAACACTATAGCTATTTATTGGATGCAGAATCTGGGAGGAAATTATCTAATTTTGCAAAGGCATGAATGTGAAATTTTGTGAGGCAAGTGTGCCTGAGTCACTTGTGTATTGCAGTAACTTTTTATGAAAAAGCAGCTGGGAAGCGGAACAAAGGGACACACCTTAGCAAGTGTTGGAAGACGGAATTAGTTTGTTTGTGAATACGTGGTTGCTGTAGTCCAGGATCCTCTGAGTGTTATCCTCTATCCTATTTCAGCCATTTACTCCCATGTCCTAGTCCTGGATATTTTTAAAAACTGTTAATCTTCCCATAACCTCTTAATTCCATGTTATACATTAAATATATAATCTTTGGTTTGATGATTATAATGGTTTTTAAGAAATGGATGCCATGTTAAATAGAGGATTTGCTTTGAAGTATTTGAGGTGGTGTTGGAGTAGGCATTGTATGAGATTGTTGTTGAAACAAATTACTTATAAATTTATTTGTTGAAGCTGAATGGGGATTCACTATACTGTTATTAAAGTTTTGAAATTAAAAAAAATAATCATCTTCTTCTGTTAACCTGTTGATTTGATTATTAGCCCAGCTAGAATTTAGGTGGGAAGAAAAGTATTTTTTTTTAGCCCCCACAACTGCATTCCCCAAGACTGGTCTTTTTTGTTAGCAATGGCCTAATAAACCCTTTCTTTTAAAAAGACTTTCAGCCACGGAAGTTAAAATTTTTTAATACATGAGTCCCTTTTGCAATTCTGACTCCCCTCCTGGTTTTCTTTTGTCTGATTGTTTTGCTCTTTCCACCAATACAATGTTAAAATATAATGGCAGTATTGGGTATCCTGGTCTTATTCCTTGACTTTGATAGGAATGCTTACAGTGTTTCCCTGTTATATAAGATACTAGAGTTTACTATTTTAAAAAATCAGAAATGGCCCTTGAATTTTGTCAAAGGCCTTTTCGTCATCCATGAAGATAATTTTGTTTGTCCTCATATCTATTAATATGTGAATTATATGGTTCTTAATATTGAATCGTCTTAGTCATACTATATCATTTGAAAATGTACTATGGATTGTTGGCTAATATTTAAGACTTTCATATCAATATTGATATGAGACTGGCTTGTGGTTTTTTGTGTGCAATCTTTAGCAGATTTAGATAGCAATGTTATACTTGCTTCATAAAAACTGTAAACTTTCATTTTCTATATTTTGGAACAGTTTATATAATCTAGGGATTATCTAGCCTTTAAAAGGTTTGGTGGTTTCCTTCTGAAACCATCTGACCCAAGTGATTTTTGTGGGAGTATTCCTTTGATAACTTTCTCTATCCTATGAAATTTCTTTTTTTACTTTCCACCACTACTAGGATAAATTTCAGAAAATTCTAAAACCCTAGGAAATTAATCATCTATTTATCAAATTTATTTATACCACTTATGCAGAGCAATCTTATGTTTATTTGAATATCCTGTTTCCATGGCTATTTCTCTATTTCTTTTTTAGTATTTGTGATTTCTTTTTTGATTGGGTAAGCTAGAAGATTGTCTTTTTTTTTTTTTTAAAGAACTACCATTTATTAGCTATAACTTATTTTATATCTATTTACCTTCTCTTTTTATCTTTATTAAGAATTTCTGGGGGAAAAATACTAATTATCAGAATATATAGGATTCAGTTAAATCAGTGATGGGAGAAATCCATAGCTTTTAAATATTTTATGTAAATAATGAGAATTAAATAAGTGAATTAAGTATTCAACTCAAAAAAGAAAGTAAATGAAAAAATAGAAAGCAATAAAGATAAAAATTCCAAAGTCCTAGACCTTTTTTGAGTCAAATGCTGACAAGATGGAAACCATGTGTCACATCGTTCTAGAGTGGCACCTGGACTGGCACTGCTGTGTGAGGTTATGAGATCCAGGAACAGTCTTTGGGTTCCATGACTCCTGATCCAAACATCTCCTCAGGTGGCCCGGGCATTTTTACCAGAGACAGAACAAAGGTATAGTTTTTCCACACAGCTCTTTAAAAATACTTTAATACTAGCAACCCATATGCAGCATGAAGGGCAGCATTTGTGCAACTCAACCCTGCTAGTAATTAATACTACGCTGAACTATGCCCAAAATGACCAATATATTGTGACCTATACACAGTAACTATAATCACATTAAAATTAAGGCTAAAGCTAAAATATAATATGTAAAATTCAACATTTATATTAGTCTCAGCAATTCAGTATAAAATTTTAGGTTTACCAATGTTTAGTATTTTTTTCTTGAAATCTTATCTACCATCTTTAAAATTCTATTTTAAAGACATTAAGAGCTTACCAGAGAAATTATTTATAATAAATGGAAAGAAAGTATACATAATTATATATACAATAATGACTTAACTTTGTAAAACAAAACATAAATATGCCATATTTTACTCACAAAAATATTTACAGTAGTAGTAACCCCTGGAAAGCAAAAATCCCTCTTATTCATCTTTATAGTACCACCTGATAGAAGAATGCCTGGCACAAAGTAGGTGTTCAGTAAGTTTTTGCTGAAAAAAATGAAAGTGAGTAATATCTGTCTTCGAAAAAAAGTATACTCGATCGGGTAAATATATGAAATTTTAATGTTTGTATCTGAAACATACAAAGGCCTAAAGGCAAAGTCAATGATACCTAACTAAAATTCTCTGGGTAATTTCATTATTAAAAAGTTAAGTCTTGAGTAAAAAATCCAACTCTAAAAATATGGTCTTAAAAATCACATATCTACATATATACTAAGACAAGTGAATTGTCTTATGCTGCATCATCATCATCCACTGCAGCGTAGATGGCTTGATTCCTCCTCTTAATTTTCTTTCTTTGTTCAGGTTCATGTTCATCACTCATCCTCTTCACGGGCACTTCGGTTAAGTCCTTCCCATCTCCCAACTCCACAGCCTCACCAGGTTTCCCCTCTCTACCAATTGGCGAACTCAGTGTATCATCAGAAGATACAAACATGGAACCTGGCAGGATCCTGACATCAGAGAAGCTTGCAGAAAAATCAGAAGCTTGATCAGAAGAAGGTTCTACAGATGCTGTATTTATGTCACTGTGTGCACTCACAAAACTATCTTCATCCTCTTCCTCTTCATCTAACATTATTTCATCTGGATTAACAAAGGACAAGGCAGATGTGTCTGTGTTATATTCACTGGGATCTTCCCCAGAGTCATTACTCTCCCCTTCATCCTGCTCTTCATATTCACCACACAAGTGATGTTCCTCCTTGGCCTTCTGAAGGCTGACATTAATGTCTGTGATTCCAAGTTTGGCACAAAATTCAGTAGTCTGAGGATTGATCCTATGAACCAACTGCATTTGTGTCTGTGGCTTGTTTGGGTCATAACAAGCAGCCGTCACACTAAAATTATACGGAACTTTGAGGTCATGATTCAATTTTTCCAATACTTCATTCATAGCTTCTTCTGTTGCACTATAATCCCATCTATAAAAATCCAAAACAATAGCCTTTTATATTTTATCAGCTTTAGCTAATAATGATGAAATCTAACTATGGACTTCAGGTACAAGGATAAAATATAAATCATATATCAAAATTCCACTTAGTAAAATTATAGTTAATTTAGCAAAGAACATTTTGAAATAAAAACAATTCTTAGAAAAACATGTCCTTAACTCATACCCTAAAGCGAGTATAAATTATTTTAATCTGTGAACCAATCTCCACCATATTATAGTGTGTGCACACTTATCACTTATACATTTATTTGGATTAGTGCTCAATAGTCCACTTTCTTGTAAACTTTGAATTGTACTTATATTCATTTAATAGTAATTCCCTTAATCAAAAAAAAAAAAAAAAAGTGTGGTGGGGGGACAAATACTGTGCATGCAACAGAGAGGGAAAGTCCTAAAATAAGGTGAGACTTACCTTGTATGCAGGCCATTATTTTCAGGCATATTCCACAGGCGCCCAGTCACATTAATAAGACTGTTAGTAGCCCTGAGAATGGTGAGCCATTCAATATCATACTCTAAGTGATCAGGAGCATTGGGGTCATGATCTATTTCTATTACCTACAGAAAGAAATTGGTAATTTTAAGAAATACATATCTACTCTTAATAGTCTATGGATTTCAATATAACATTAAAATTTAAAAGAATTTTAATTTAGTAGCCTAAAAATATTGACATAACATAAATATCTCCAAAGAATTCTCAGAATACATAAATTACAAAAAGCACAAATTAGTAATTTAGAAAAGGAAAATTAAAATTTTTTTAATCATTGGAAGAGTAAAAAAATATTGCAAAGTTATTTCATTTTCTTTTTACCTGAAGAAAGTCTCTATGTGGTAAGCATTTGTCCAAAGCTAAAAATTTGGTTGCTTTGGCAGTCTGTCCTTTATCCTTGGCCTAGACAAAATGAACCATGATTTAAGAAAGAATGTAAAACATCATAGGTAATTTATACATTGAATAGGATATAAATAATTTTTGTTACATATACCCCCTAGTTGTGTGTCAAAGGGACAACTGTTACTTTTCTATAGCAAGTTACTTCTATACCCGCTTGTACAGCAATGGTCACTGAAACTCTCTGGGCTTTAATTTCCTTACAAAAGTCAAAATAGAAACTAATGATGATGATGTTAAAGCATATAACACACACATAAAGCATATAACACAAGGATTAAAGATAACAGAAGAGCTTAAAAGTAAATTGGCAGAGCTAAAACTATACATCCTTTAGAAGAAATCATAGAAGAAACTCGTCGTTACCTTGGGTTTCTTAAAGATTTCTTAGATACAACATCAAAAGTAGATGCGATATATCCACAGAATGAAATACTATTCAACAATAAAAATGAATGAAGTACTGGTACATGCTATGGCATAAATGAACCTCAAAAATGAGCAAATCAGATCAAAGAATCCAGATGTCAAAGACTATATATTTTATGATTACGTTTATGTGAAAGGATCGGAGAGGGCAAATCCTAGAGACACAAAGCAGATTAGTGGTCGCCTGGGGCTGAGAGTAGGAATGTGGATTGACAGCAGACACAAAGGATCTTTTGGGGCTATGGAAATATTCTAAAACTGGAACATGTGACATTTGCACTAAAAATCACTATATTATACACTTAAATGAATGTTATGTAAATTATACACCAATAAAGCTAATTTAGAAAAGTAAATAGTCAGAAAGAAACATGGTGGGAGGGTCATGAGCATGAAGGTCATATTGGAAGCAGTAAGAAAGCGACTCAATGAAAATAGTGAGGCACATGGAGGAAAAAAGACAAGGAAACAAGTTTTTGGACGACCTGCTGAAGACTAGGGATCAATTCAATGTCGAAGAGGGATGAAGAGAGGTGAAAGCAGAGGATGAAGAGAGATTACAGGCAGAGCTTGGCAGCAGGGCAGTTCTAAAGTAAGGTGATGGTGGTGGGGAAGGGGCTGAAAGAGAACACTGGCAAGATGAGAAGAGGCTGAGGAGCCAAGAAAAAGGGATCAAGTATGTCATTAATGCAGAGAGAAAAGTCCCTGAGGCTGACCACAGAAGATGGAGTAAGGGAAAAGTAGCAAATCAGATACTTCAATAAAAATCCAAGATTGTCAAGTAGCCCTAAAAGACAGAAGAGAATAATAGAGATGTGGAAAAGGTGACAGATATAAACAGATGACTTGGACTTTAACACTGGCCCAAAGGAAAATGAAAGCGGTAACCTTGCCTCCTCCCAGTGAAACTGGGGAAGAATAAGCCCACAACAGAAAGGCCTTACAGGAGTGTTTTCCAAGAGAACCTTCTAAACTGTTTGAGGAACATCAGTAAAGTGTACCTCTACCACAGAAAAGTGTGTGGTCGAGTAAGTTTGGGAAGCTCTGCACACCACATCCCACTCTTGGAGAAAGGCAATGCTCTTTAAAGACTCAGAAATTCTATAGAAGCCTTTGAGAAAAAAAATCTCTAACTCTGTTAGTCCAGCGTATTTTAAACATTTTCCCTTTATACTTTATGGGAAAGTCAGAGTTCAGTCAGAATCAGAGGTGAAAGAAAAACTGCAGATTTCCATAAAAGCCTAATTATAAGTATATATTCATTCTCTACTTTTTATCATCCATTCAGTTACTCTAGAAAAACTCTGGGAGTCATTCTAGACTCTCTCTCTCCTCCCTGTCACCAAATCCTGATGATTCTACTTCTAGATTTTCCTTCATTCTCTGTGCTCCCTCTTTGCCTTATGTTAAAACCTCATCTTTTGCTTATATAGCCTCCTCTTTTACATTACCCCAATCTACACACAAAACTGCTGCCAAACTAATCTTTCTAAAACAAAAATTTGATTTCATCACTTCCCAATTTTCTTCATTATCTTCTGATTGAAACCTAAACTCCAGAACATGGCCCAGAAGGCAGTTATGATCTTGTCCTAGCTTCATCACTCCCCATGCCTCGGCCATGGGAACTAGCTGCAGTTCCCCAAAGGCCCCATGTTCTCAGACCTCTAGCCTTTTGCACACATTGGTCCCTCTTCCTAGATTACCCTTATAATCTACTTCTTCCTGGCACCAACGATCCATTTGGAAAAGATCTGTATCACTTCATCTCTGTGTCCACATCCCCAACTCACCATAGTCTGGCTCAGGTGCTCCCACAGTACCCTGGCACTTTTTGTCACAAACTTATTACACTATTTTATCATTGTTCATTTGTCTCTTCCCCACACTGGATATTGAGTTACTCACAAAAGAAAAGTTATCTTTGATTTATTTCTCTAACTTTACAACTGTGTCAACAGTGCATAGCCCATAGATGTTTGATAAGTGTTTGTTAAATGAAAGAATAAATATTGTGCTTTCTACCTGATGTTGCATCAAAGCTGCAAACTTCACATGAAGGTGCGCAGAAAACCAGTAAGTAGGTTTTAAGTGCTCTAAAAGCTCTGAGGCAGCGGGACTTCCTAAGGTGTTATTTTCCACTTCTTGTCGGAAAAAGGATTTAGTCTTAAGAAGTTGCTTCTTATTTCCATAATGATATATACTTCTTGGCCAATCATGAGATAGGAATATGTCCATAGGCTGCTTCAGCTTTAACAGAAAAAGAAAAAAATCTTAAAAACAGATTAACCACAAGCAATCTCCATCCCTTCCCTCTATCACCACACAACCATTTACCCACGGAGATCTCTGGATTTCTGTGTAATTCATTCTAAGGACACTTTATGTAAGGAAGTCACAGAAATACTGAGCTGCTCACACATGTAGGTAAAAAGAAACAGCTTTCTCTCTGCCTCACAAATCATCCTTATTTTCTGGCAAGGCAGGAGAACAGAGGCACGCTTTGATTAGACTGCCAATCAGCTATGGTCTTTAGCAGTGCATTTTAAAAATATATAATAACCATTGTTCTAGTCCCTTTTTGGTAAAGAAACTATTGTTTTAAAATCCAGAGACACTAGATATCATGAGACCTCTAATGTAAATGATACAGTAAACCCAAAGATATATTCCACTTTTTTTCTAATGGACTCACATAGTATCCACCAAAAAACTGTTTATTGCATGTTATATTAGAGGTATTTAAGGTGGCTGGTGTCTTCATGGGGGGAAGGGAATCAAAATATACACTGTACTTTACCCCTTCCCGGCACCTTCAAGTAATCTGAAACAAATACTTGGAAAACTAAATTAAAATAACTTAAGTGTCCGAGAAAATACAAAATATAAGACGTACAGGACTAACCACTGAACAACTGGTATGGGCAATAAACACAATGAAAATTTAGAGAAGGGTGATTTTAAACTACAACACTGGTTGGGAAGTGGTATATAAGCTAGGTCTTCAAGGACTGGTAGGATTTAAACCGGTGAAAGGGAAAAGGCATTCAAAGTAAGAACCGTTATAAATAGGGCATTAAGAAATGCCCATGAGCATTCGTATACTCCCCTAGAGGCTGTACGGTATGTGGTAAGGGCCTGAGTTCACTCTGGCAGGTTCTACTACTTAACTACTTGCGAAGTTTTAGGCATGTTTCTTACTTATCTGAGCCTCAGCCTCTCACCCTCATTGTGACAGTCAGAGTAACACCTATCTCACAGAATTTGAGTGGCAACAAAATATCTTGTGTGAAAGCTGCTTAGTCCATTGTCAGGCATTTAATGAGTTCTCAAATAAAAATCTTAGTTTTACCCACCCTCCAGGTGAGCCAGTGTTTTAATACCACCCTCACAATTTTCCCATATCTTCCATCATCTTTACTATTATTTTCTACTTAATGCCATTATTTAAAATAAAATATTTAAATTTTATTTAAAGTAAAAGTTTATTCTAATAAATATTCATTAGTCTTACCCTAAGTAATAATATTTGAAATCATGGATCTAATGTTTTATTACTCACTAAAATAAATTTATAACCATAAAAAATTTTAAATGTTCATCTGTGAACCTCCTAAAAAACAATTTGAGATCCAAATTTTAGAAATAATAAAGTAATCTCTTCTTAAAGTTATATACCAAAATGAGCAAAATATATTTTGGTATATAATTAAACATTTTTTCAAGTCTGCTGTAATGTACTTTTTTACATACCTGTTTTAATTTATATACTTCAATGTTTCTCACATGATATATACTCCTTATTGTTGCTGAATTATAAGGGGGGCACTCAAAATGACCTTAAATTGAAGAAGAGAAACAAGCTGTATTCAATACCTTTAAATACTGCAAATACAAATACATATACACACTTCCCCAAAACTAACGTTTGTCATCAATACTTTGGGTTCTTAAAAATTTATTTTAAAAAACACTGCTCTTAATATGCTGGTACTTTTTACCAATAAGGGATCATAAACTATAAATCTAAATAATTAGGGGCTTTTGGTTTTTAAAATTTAATTTAATTTAATTTTGGAGTATATTGTTTATTCACATAGTTTAAAGTTTTAAAGATACCATCAGTAAGGTATAGAGTAAAAAGTGTTCCACCTAGAGAGTAGACCAGTGGATGCCTAGGGCTGGGATGGGAGTAGGCATTAATTGTAATTAGGCACAAAACTTTTAGGGGTGATAGAAATGTTCTAAAGCTGGGTAGTGGTAAAATCTGGATGCATAACTCTATAAATTTACTAAAACCATTGAATTGTACACTTACAATGGTATTATAAATCCTACCTCAATAACACTGCCAAAACGAAGGGAGGAGTCCTCCTATTCCTGTCCCCCAGCCATTAGTAAACCTACCTAGGGGCAGCTGGCGCTAATCAGGTTTTAGTATTTTATTCCACGGATACCATCTATGCATATAATACACCTATTTCTTTATCCTTTTTTTTTTTTTTTTAAATACAAATGGCAGTATACTTTATACATGTTTTGTGCCTTGTTTTTTCACTTAACTTATTTTGGAGTTCTTTTCATGTTAGTTACACAAAGAGCTGCCTCTTTATTTTTTTTAATGGCTTCGTAGCATTACATTGCATAATTATATCATGATATATTTAGTTCCTACCTTTTGTTATTACAAACAAGGCTGAAATAAACTTGCATACATCATTTTATACTTGTGGTACATATCTGTATATAAATTCCTGGAAGTGGAACTCCTGGGTTAGAGTATTTTTATAATTTCCATAGATATTACCAAGTGTCCCTCCCCAGAGTGGTTCTGATTTGCATACACACCTGCCATGTAGGAGACAACCTATTTGTGTACACCCATGTCAAGTTTAGAATCATGGGGAGCAGAATAGCAGGAACAGAATTGTGACTTAACAGTTACATTGAGGATATGAAATTGAGCTATCAACTTAATTCAAGAAATTTTGAAATCGATGTGAATCCAAGCTATTCTTTTAATTTTAAAATCAAGATATAATTCATTCAGATACAATAGAATTAATAAGTATACTGTGGTATACAGTTGACTCTTGAAAAACATGGGGCTGAACAGTGTGAGTCCACCTATACATGATTTTTTTTTTCCAATAAATACCTGTACTGTTTTTGATCTGCAACTGGGAGTCCATGGATGTGGAGGGCCTACTGTATGCATTGATCTACACCATTTTATATAGGGGACTTTAGCATCCACAGATTTTGGTATCTACAGCAGTGGTGGGGGGTCCTGGGCCCCATTCTCCACAAATACCAAGAAACAACTTAAGTTTTGGGAAGTCAAAAGTTATACGTGGGTTTTTGACCACACAGAGGTTACACCCCTAACCTCTGCCTTGTTCAAAGTCAGCTATACTTATACAATGGAATACTATTCACAAATTAAAATGAATAGATTAGAGTTACACGTATCAACATGGACTTCAAAAACATTAAAAAAGGTGCAGAAAGACATATGCAAAATGATACATTTATAAGAAGTTTAAAACATGCTATATAATACACTGTTTAAAGCTGTTACATATGTGGTAATAATATAAAATAATCAAGTGAATGATAAACACCAAACTCAAAATAGTGACTGCCTGGTGAGGAAAGGGAGGGATGAAAGGAGAGGAATGGGACTGAGGACAGATAACAATGAGTTTCAGTTGTATCTATATTGTTTTATATCGTAAAAATCAAAACTAAAAACAGCAAAATACTAAGACGATAAAACTCGATGGTGGATAGACAGATAATATATCCTAGTGTTCTCTATATTTTCATATGTATAAAACATTATAAAATATAAATTTAAGAATGAATTAATTCATAGAAGAAATCCAATGAAAAAGTCAAACTATATATTGCTTAAGTTACTCTGGGGTATGCAAGTTCTAAAGTTTAAAGACAATTCTCAGAACAATACCTTTTCGATAGTCATGAGATTTGAAGATACCAGAGATGCCGCCAATCCTTATGCCTCGATATTTTACTATACCTGCCAAGCCTGAAAAATTACAATTTAATAAGGTTACTATAGGCAAAAGCAACCCCTCTATTAACTGAATGAAGAGTTTAAAGGCCTAGAATTCTATGTAGTCCCAAAATTATTTGAAAACTGGATTGAAATAAAGATGCCAGATTAATAGTTGTTGAAGCTGGTTAATAGGTAGACCGATTCATCATATAGGTATCCCCCGCTTTTCAAAAGTTCTTGTCAACACTACTTTACGTTTGTGAAAGACTTACATTAGTATCTGTTTTCACTAAGGGAAAAATCCAAAGAAAATTTTTGCTTTCAGAAAAAAAGGTGAAAAGTCAAAATAGCATTCAAGCATTTTTTTTGCAATGAGCCTTAAGAGGCAGCATGCACCCAGAGCAGTGAGTGGCCCCACCAAGCTTCTTCCCTAAGAACTACACTCAGCATCTCAGCATCAAGCTGCCTTGGCTTTGAACTGTGTTTGAGCATCTATCTGTGCTTTATCTCAATTTATTTTGTGCATCCATTAGCAACATGTGTCCTGAGGTATCAGAAAAGCCTAAGAGAGCTCGTAAGGGAGTTATACTTAGTGTATACTTAACAATTTCCATTATAAAAGGTTTAATCTTTTAAATTAATAAAAATAATAAGGAAAAAAATAAAAGAATTGCAAATAGTGTGTAAGATCTTGCAGTTATATTAACTATTGCTTAAAATACTAGATGACGCATGGACACATTTTCATAATTACCTACTTAAAATAACTATTATAATTAATTTCCCGTGATTAACTATTTAAATTAAGAGACATATCTAAAACACCATACATCTGAAGATGCTACCCAACTGGTGTATAAATCTGAGAGACGCTTCCGTCCCATTAAACCAAGAATTTACTTACAAACACATACCTAAATAATAAATGTTTGGTGCCACCCAGCCACCGTAGGGTAACTCTTGCAAGTGATTTGAGGCTTCATGGTTTCCCCCAATGAAGATTGTGAGAACTGGGGCCTTTTTCTCTCCAGAGTAATACCTAGAACATAAGAGTAAATTTGTCTGGTGGCATCGCAGAAATTAGGCATAGAGAAAAATTAATTAGGCATCCTTATACAATTAAGCATAGCAAAAAGGCAAAACAAAGTCCCAAGGAAAAAATGCGAGCCCATCATAAAAAGTTAAAAAGCACTTTCTAAACTTATTGTCCATACTCCTCTTTAGGAATGAAGGGCTTGGGTTTCAAGTCAGTGAGGTCAAGAACTTTGTCAGTTCGCTGCTATAACCCTAGCTTAGAGAACGGGTACTAGCACATATCAGGCATCCAATAAAAACTCCAGGATCACTAAATGGACTAGTTCCAAAGTCCTATCAAGTACAAGGTAGATTAACCTGTTAGCTTCTTCATTCAGGTTTTGCCCTCAGGCTGCCACCCCTTCCGAAACAGGTGAATGGCGAGAAGAAAAGTGACAGTTACTAAACGCCAGTTCCTAGAGACACAGCGTGAACAAAGACGGGAACTCAGGAAGACAGTCAGTGGCAGAGGGGAGTCAAATCCAGTTCGGGTTCTCTCCTCACTGCTTGCTATGCACATCTCGCACCGCTGGGTCCGAGGACCAGGCTGCGAACCTCACCTGTAGAAGGTCTGCATGTGGCGGTACTTGGGTGGCACGGCCATGCAGCGCAGGTCCGCCTCGTTGCGCACCGCCTGGAAGTCGCCGCAGCACAGCAGAAGGTCTATCGGGCCCGGGCCGCGCCGCTCCGCCAGCGCCAGCGTCTCATAGATCTTGTCCAGCTCGCCATGGCAGCAGCCAGCCACAGCCACCCGCATCCTGCCAGCCCGAGGCAGGGATAGCTGCCTGCAATCCCCTAGAGCTGAGCCAGCCCAGGAGGGAAAGCAAAGACCAGACCGATCGCTCAGCTCCCGCCAACATTAACAGAGGCACTGCCTCGTTGACTGGGGCAATGTAATTCACTTCCGGTTTTCAAATCTCGCGATAGAGGGATAGGCAAGGCAAAGTTAACCCTAGGATTCCAGAGAGCTTTAAAATCGACTCCGGCTTTGCCTATCCGCGGCTCTTTTAAGTCTTAGCAGTCTAACAGATAATAAAAATCACGACCAGAATAGTAAAAAAAAAAAGAAAGGAGGGAGGATGGGAAGGAAGGCCGGAAGGATGGAAAGAGATAAGGAAAAAAAGAAAATCCCCAGAAATAGTTCAGTTTGATAAAATTAAACCAAGTTAAACGGGTGAGCCGATACGATTGGCTAATTCCCTAGGACGAATCTCTCACGGAAAAGTGAATTTCTAATTCACTTTCAGGTGATTACGGAGAAGGTACTTCCCCCAAAAGAAAAGCACTGTTCTAACCTCTATCACTAAAGATCAGCTTTGCTTATTTTAATTACGGAAAAGGTAATTACCTGAAAGTGAATTAGAAATTAAACAAAAACAAATTTTTTTTAAGAGCCCCCAAATGAAAATAATTTTAAAATAGAACTTAAAAACTCATTGAAGACTTTAAAATTATCCCCCAGAAGAGTTTCTAAAATATTAATTTTTTAAGAGTCAGTGACTCCTTGTTTTCCTAGCAAATAGTTGTTTGCATAACTAGACAGCAAGTTCAGTGAAAGCAGATGAAGGTCTGGAAAATGTCCAAGAGAGAAAAGGACCAAACTGACAACTGAAGAATGAGCGGCCAAGACAGAACCAAGCAAACAAGTAAAACCCCTCTGGTAAATCTAATCAAGAAAAGTAATCTAATCAAGACAATACAGGAAATAGTTAACTCATCTTTAAAAACTAGATAAAATAAAAATTATTCTAGAAACAAAGACACCAAAATTAATTCAAAATGAAGCAGAAGATGTATGAAGAACATGGCAATAGGAAGACACTGGAAATATTGTTAGGAAATAAATCCATTAAAAACCATTGTACCCAGAATGATTTATGGGCAACACTTTCAAATTTACAGAAAAGATACAATTTTCATGATATTTAAATTGATCAAGAGGGTAGAAAAAGATGGCAATCTAATATTTCCAATACTTCTAATATTTTATTTTCCTTTTGTATTATATTTGTGAAATATATAAGAATGCTCTTACAACATTACTAAATTTAACTATTTCCGTTTCATTTTTAATCTACAGGAATTGTCTTTTCCTGGATCCTTTTTTTCTCTCTGTGTAAAAAATTTTAATTGAGAGCTAACTTACTTAAAGTAACATGAACAAATCAAATCTTAAGTGCACATTTTGATGCATTTTTACATATGTTATCACCCATATAACCATCGCCTATATCAAGCTATAAAAATTTCCAGCAAGATATAAAATATTCCCTTGTGCTCCCTCCCAAGCCACTTCCCCCAAAAGAAAAGCACTGTTCTAACCTCTATCACTAAAGATCAGCTTTGCTTATTTTTAAACATCATATAAATGTCAGTACGGTCATGCACCATAACACAAGGATACTTCCGAGAAATGTGTTGTTAGGCAATTTTGTCTTAGCGTGAACATCAGAGTGTTCTTACACAAACCTAGAGGCTATAGCCCACTACACACCTAGGCTATATGGTTTAGTCTATTGCTTATAGGCAACAAGCCTGTACAGCATGTTACTTATAAAAAAATAATAATAATAATAATACCATGAGATTAAATTAAGCATGAAAGAAGATAATGCAATTAAGAGACAGTAAAGATCTATGAGGCTTCACCAGAGTAACATGGCATACTGCTTTACAGCTAGCTTTTCTAAGTAGGAGTACAAAACAATGATAAAAAGCATAGTAAATACATAAACCAGTAATATAGTCATTTATTATCATTATCCAGCACTATGTACTGTACATAATTTTATGTGCTATACTTTTATATGACTGGCAGTGCAGTAGGTTTGTTTACACCAGCATCACCACAAACATGCGAGTAATGCATTATGCTATAATGTTATGACAGCTACATTGTCACTAGGCAATAGGAATTTTTCACCTCCATTATAATCCTATGGAACCACAGTCACATATGAGATCTGTCATTGACCAAAATGTCATTATATGTGCCTGACTATATATATTATGTACTCTTTTGTGTCTGCTTTCTTTCATTTAACTTAGTGTCTGCGAGATTCATCCATTAATCTATACTGTAGATAGATATAGCTGTAGTATACTGTTTCTTATTGCTGTGTTTCTTTTGTGTGAACATACCATAATTTATCTGTTTTCCTGTTGAAGGACATTTGAATTGTTTTGAATTGGGAGCTATTATGAATAAAGCCACTGTGCACATTCTCATACAATCTTTTGGTGGATATGGCACTTACTTCCATTGGATTATGTCCAGGAATGGAATCTCTGGGTTATAGAGTAGGTATATGTTTAGCTTTAATAGATAGTGTCAGTTTCCAAAGTGGTTGTGCTAATTTACACTTTCCTAGATAATATAAAGATGTTCCAATTATTCCATATGCTCAGCAGCACTTGGAATTATCTGTCTGTTAACTTTTAGCCATTTTGTTAGATGTGCAATGAAATCTTGTGGTTTCCATATAGATTTTACAACATAATTTTAATATATCAGTCATTTCGAATTTTCTCCTTTTGTGATGGATAGGAAACAATAACAATGCCATAACATTCGAAAATTCATAGTCAATGAAGGAAGTAGATTATGAATAAGAATGAAGAAGTGTATCTTGGCTCAGCTCCTACTCTTCCCAACCTACTCCCCATTTTCAGAGACCATACCAGTGAATTGACAAACTTGAGAATTCTCATTGACTTTCTCAAATCCAGAGAGAATCAAACTAAATAGAAAGCCTCACCTACTTCCTATTCTGAATGAGGAGAACAGGAAGGCTGTTGGAGAAAAATGAATAGAATGAACAATGAAGATAACTCTTTTTTACAAAGGTGAAGGGCTGCTCACTGGACATGCAGGTGCTCTCAAATTATGTGTATGTTTCCATGGGGAAAATAAACAGGTGTCAGATCTGATGTGAAATAAATTCCCTGATTCTAGTAGAGCAAAGACAGAATCTAGATAGAGGCATCCAACAATAAGCAAATTGAAGAAAGAAATGCCATGTTAACTATGGAAATGTACTTTAAAAAAAAAATCTGGGGTGAGGTTGAGCAAAAGTCTTATTTGAAACTTTTTAGGTCTACGGCCATGCTACCCTGAACAAGCCCAATTCCGTCTGATCTTGGAAGCTAAACAGGGTTGAGCCTGGTTAGTACTTGGATGGTAGACCACCTAGGAAGACTAAGAGTTATAGGCTTAAAAATAAATAAATAAATAAATAAATAAATAGATAGATAGATAGATAGATAGATAGATAGATAGATAGATAAAACTTCTTAAGTACAACCAGACCTTGGGTTTGTAAACACCATTCTTCTCTAAAAGAAATTAAGTCTGCTTATTGACATGGTTGATTCCAGAGCAGAGAAAGTACAAAATGAGCCTGGATCATCTTGTGCCAGAAACCAAAGAAGCATTCAAAGAACCTGAGATGTCAAAAGGATGCTGGTTGAAGGTTTTTCTACTGGTCAAACTTGAAACAATTTTAGCACCAAAATGCATAATCGTTGTAACAAACGGTAGCCCATTGAATAAAGTAGGACTCTATCATTCCATACTGATATAAGTAAATGAATAATATGGAAAAGAGAGGGCTCTCATTATACAAGAATGTCGTGTGGGGCTAAAAAAATAATACTTTCCCCCTCCACTTTCTAAATTCTTATAGCTGGGCTAATAATCAAATTAATGGAGACAAATTAACAGGAGAAAATAAAATTTTAATATGTGCACATGGGGAATTCACATAAGCATTAAAATTCCAAGGACAGTGAGGTAAAATTAGGTAATATGTCGTTTTGAACAAAGGGGAAAGGAAGTGCAGGGATCTGAGATTTCAAAGGAAATAAGCAATTTACGGGTAGTTGATGAAAAGCAGAACATATATGGCAGGTAAATTCTTGCTTCAATGGGACACAAGGGGTGATCTAGCTACCAGGCCCCAGCCTGGGCCTCTCCCATCTATCATACTCAATTCAAATTAAGCTAAGGCAAACATCCTAAAATTTTCCTTACCGAAGCAGGCCTTTCTCAATCTCTTAGCCAGAAAAGGAGGAGGGGCAAATGTTCTTTCTGAGTCTTTTGTTTCATAATAACCACTTTAAAGTTAATATTCCAAAAGGCAGCTTTAGGGTGGTAAAACTTCAGTTCCCTTCAGTCGATTGATACACACAGAAAGATGACTGGAGTTAGAAATCACCATTTGATCACCAGACTAATCATCATCTTCATCATTATAATTGTTTCAAACAAGAATCTTTCATGAATGCTAAAACTACTGAGTAAAACTCTGAAGAGTAATAGGATAGTTACACAGCCTCTATGTATCTATTATTTGAGACTACTTATATAATCTCAAAGTATCTTTCCAAAAGATACTTATTATAACAAAGAAAAACATAAGGATTTTACACTAGTGATACCTGGCAGACACCACTCTAACAGAGTGATCCAAGTTAATCTCACTAGGAATGGACAAATCACATTATGTGCCTTCTGATATAACATACACTATTTCTATGGTATTTCTGCCAAAAATACAGAACCTAAATCTAATTTTGAAAAACAGGAGACAAACGAAAATTGAGAAAGATTTTGAAAATAACTGGCTTGTTTTTAAAAAAAAATGTGAAGGCCAAGAAAGATAAGGACAGACTGAGAATTATTAAAAATTAAAAGAAACAGGATTCATAATTGAATGCAATGTGGTGTTATAAAAGACATTATTAGGACAACTGGCAAAATCTGAATAAGCTCTTAAATTAGATAGTATTGTATCAGTGTTAATTTCCTGATTTTAATACTTTTACTCTGGTTATGTAAGAGAATTTCTTTTTTTTTTAAAAGAAACATGCTGAAATTCTAAATATAAATATATATCATATA